CCCCAAGCCAATACGCGTAGTCATGCATAATGCGTAATTGAAGAACGCGACATTTTCCAACATTAAATGGTAAGGTATTCTGAAAGGAGACTTCGAAATCTTAGTTGGGTCGCGGTGGAGCTCGTTATGGTCGCCCGGACGATATCCGTATACAAGAAAAGAAAAATAGGAAATCGGAAATAATGGTACTCCCTAAATCGTTTACAGATACCAAGAGTATACGAGACCTCAGCAAGAAGCCTTGCGAAATACTACACGGCACCTAAATTGCTCTGGACAGGAATCCTCGTACCACCATCACTAACCGAGGTTCGTGTTAAAAGTTGTCCATCCAACCTATGAGTGGGTCATCCTTGCCATAATTCTGACGTTTATAGAAGGGGAAATACTGTGGCCTAAGTGATGCAACGCTTTCGAGAAATCCAAGCAGATGACATCTGCTTCTGCTCCACCATCTACTTCTTCAATCCAGCTACAGAGTGCTGTTAGCAGGTTTGAAACACTTGAGTGCTTTCAACGAAATCCACGTTGTCCCGTGGCTATTATGCTGTTGATTTTCAGATTCTGCATCAGTGTATTTTTAATGATTGATTCCATAACTTGAAAAGGAATAGGAAACGGCGTTACCAGACGGTAATCGGTAGTGTCAACATGGCTACCTCCTTTATGAATAGGAGTGATGAGCCCTCGCTTCCATACAGGTGGAAGTTGTTTCTGCCCTACAGATCGCTGATAGAAAACCGTTCTGCTAGATCACTGGCTATAGACTGCAGAGTTTCCGGTCATTTGTTATTGCCTCCAAGATAGATGTGTTTATGCAAGGATACCAATCTCAAATGAGCTTCTACAGTAAAGATAATATTATCTAAAAATGGCAGAGTAATAGAAACGAAGTGAATACTTGTGGTCGTTACCAGCTGTAACGAATGAGAGTGATGCAACCGGAAGAGATCGGATGCCTCCATTACTGACCATGTGCACGTTTCAACCGTGACCATTGTTGGCATTCCGCGTCTTGCGTTACCAAGGGCATTAGCGTGCCTGTATAGGAGTTTGCGGTGCTTGCAGTATCACCACATTAACTCGTTGATGCCTCACCTTGTCCGCGCGTATTAAGTTCACAAAAAGTGTTGATGTGGTACGTATGCAGTCCAGGCTTCTGCATTTAGACATATTCTTGTGAGCTAACCATGCCAAATTCGTCAAAGACGTACATTTAAGTGCTTTCCTTCTCAAATAGGACTTGCTTTTTCTCTAAGGATGGGAAGATTTCTGTTTTGAGGTTAATGTTTCCAGTATGCCAAGTGTCTTTGAAAATGTTTTCTGGATGACGTCTGGAAGTCTTCACTAAAGAAGGTCCAGGATGTAACCACAACAAGCAGGGATAACACTTTTGTAGTGCGTTAGAGTATGTACTTTGTTATTCTCTTCTTAAGTATACTCCACAGAACATACATTGTCAAACCATAGAAGAATATGATCACTGAGACCCAATGGGGTGCTTGTAATTATTCCGTTGAACGTGACTTCGTCATTAGTTTGTGCAAGATCAAGAATCCACTGCCTGTTAGCAGTTCAAAATCTGATGGGAGAGAGTGTGTTTGTAGAGAGAGAGCAGCTGGAAATAATCTTTTACAAACATGCTATACCTTGCATGCTAATGCTCACCGGTATTTCTAGCTTGTGCATAACAATGTCACATGCGATTGCAATGCGACTGCATGTAGTTTTCTGTGCAAATTTTAATTACTCGTTAGGTTTGGAGCCCGTTTCCAAGCTAGAGTTTGGTGGAGTGGTAAATCACGACTGCATGATATGTGTCATTATTCTGCATCCATAGCCATCACCAAAGCAAATCAGCTTCCCGGATTTTTGGGTGGTCATTATGTGCACAGTTGGGGTTAGACTTATAATACCGAATTACACCATCTTCATTTCCATGGTTCCGAAGCAACGAGATAGCTGGTAGTTTGGTCTCAAATTCAGGTATCTCAATGCTTAACCAGCTAGGTACTACAATGTTTAGGCACAGCTGTTGGGAGTCTTGGCGTGCTCTATGGTCACCCAACCTACTAAGAAGACCGTGGACGCTAGTTCACAAACAGGTTAGTGTTTTGGATATTAGAAGTGCGTTTTTGGATGTTGAATTCCTGTTTGGTTGAAAGTCAACCGTGTGGTCGTTTGGCCGCCAATCACTTTATTTGGTAGCTCGTTGGTTATAAAATTGCAGTCGAATTGCATGACCTCAGAGCCTTCCAGAGCAGGATGTTCTCACGTGATTCGCTCCGTCTTGTCGGTTTTCACGGTCGTTGGATCGGTCGCCCCGCATGACTGAGGGAGTAAGTCTTCGCGAATTGCTGATGATCCGTAACAGTATGCCTGCTGCCTTCAGTCGGAACTTGAATAGCAAAATATTGCAAAACCCCAACCAGTTATCTGATAAGATTTGTGTCATTCCCTCCTAATGTCATCAACTTTGGAGCGCGGCGTTATCGTTTGGTCATGAACGAGGTTTAATCAACGATCTATCGATAACATTATCACCAATTAGTGGTAGTGAACACAGCACAACTGCTCTCGGTGAATTGTTTGAGCTTCGTGCTCAGGACAGTCCCGAAGCTTGGAAAACCATAACAAATAGTATTTTCCTACAATCGCTTTTAAGTGGGCCTCCTTGGTAACCTGCTTTCTTTTGGCGATCTATCCTAGAATAAAGTGATAATAATCAGAATCCGCTCGGATAGATGGAAAGATGAAATGTTTGGTGTAGGACAGCCTCTGTCTCATCTACTCAGTTCAGGTTTTATGGAAGAGTCTGGCTTTTACAGTGCAGTGATGTCGGGTGATGCTCCACGCGTCTCCGCATAGTGAGCCCACTGAATACTACTTGCGTCGCAGATAGCATGTGTCTGGTTACCATCACCTAGCACATTGCAAGATTTGGAGTCTAAAACGCTAGTGCACACTTGTGATAACTAACTGTGTTTCTGTTTAGCATTTGTCGGTTTGCAAATTGTTACTGGTGATTTTGACTTCTTATGAACGGATCTGGAGATGACGGTAAAAGCCGCGTCGCGTCACGTGTGTTCGCTAAAGATGGACATACACACGTTAATGTCAACGTATTTTTTAAGGCGAAGAAAGCATATGTTACCCATTTCTGCCATGAGTTGGATTTATTATGGGTCGTGCCTGCCAATATCATTATTGGATCATTAGGTAAAGCTTACATGAATGCCTTAATATCATTAACTTCTAACGTACCATTTCCGATTATGCGGTTCGCATATGTCAGATGAATTATCACAGGGTTTGGGGGCGGTTAGCAAAATTGACTCCGCTCTTTCACCTAGGTAAGAAAGTCAGTGCGTGTTTCTGTGGTTTAAGATTGGTTTCTTCGATTCCAGTGGCGAAGCACTGAGAGTTGTCATCTGCTTAATTGTATCAGCTATATTTACAGACGTTTCATAAGCACAACCACATAAGTAACAATTTTGATAGCTTTGTATACTAAACAAAACCAAAGCATATCTGTCACCTTGTTGAGCCCTTGATTCTAGCTGACTCAACTCATCGCCCTTCGCGTGGAATGCAGTGGTACAGGTAGAGCAGGATAGTCCTGCTAACCAGGTGCATTTCGAGTCTGCACACTTACCACTAAATCGGATCATCGTCGGTGAAGCCTGTTGTCGTAAGCGAACCCTGCACTAGTCCGGTCACGTAAGGTGAGAGACGGTGTTTAGCAAACCGACGCCAACTTTTGTTTGCTCACAAACTTGCATCCGCAACATGCATTAACCTGTATATACTAAATATTTATGTTTCTTCTCATAGTCAATCCTATGCTTGAATAACTACTGGCTAACAGTCCGATGCCGGTATATAGTTATTTCATTCAGCAGACACTTATTCTAAAATTGAACAATGTTGCCATCACTTTAAATACATTAGAGTTAACAATAGTGCCGTACCCAAAATTCAAATTAAAGCACTATAAACTGCAGGTGGCTGTGGCAACATACATGAGGCTTCAAATGGGGTAGGTGTTAGATATTTCGATGGGTTAGCGATGTTAATTCCAGATGCTGCAAACTCTATTCATGCACAAGTGTTTGGCTATCCGTAGTTACTAGTACTGATATCCAATCACGGACCGAAGGACTGATCGACTGTTGGACATCAATATCCTCATGATTCTCTCAGGAGCACACTAATCTAACTGTTGCAACTGACAACCAGTGGATTCAAATTAGCTTAATGTAACCCTTACGTACCCGAGCAAGCACATCATTAGCATTTTATACAATTCACTGCAGTTTATCTAAAGCGGCATCATGGGCAAATAAAAATGGCACCACTGGAAAAATGACATTATGAGTACAAGCTGTGTCCGAAAAACGTCCCCCATTCTGCATCATATTAAGAATACAGTGCAGAAACCCAGAACGAGGAGTACCTAAGTGGTAAAACGTTTTCTGATAAATTCGATCCCAAAGTGTAACATTGCGAAGAGCAAAATGCAAATATCGATAAAGGACAGTTTCATTGAACTTGCAACTGGTCTAACTGAAGGGATTGTCCACTGATCAGTGAAAAATGATAAACCTGCAGCAAATAAAATAGGGTAGATGTTACCATGAATGGGTCACGGCCAATTGAATGGTTAGCTGACATTTAGCGTCTGTTCACCCCACTTCGTTTTTAAATACACTATGTACATCTGTTTCCATTTAATCTTAGGATTGTGCTTTTAATCTGAAGGTATTGGCAACGATTTCAATGCATTGCTCTTTACATAGTGAAACAAGCTGAAGTCCGTAAATACTAAGTCGGTGTTAGTATTCAAATACAAAACTGTACATGATCAAAAAACCTCATCAAATAATGACAGTCTTCTGGTCAGCCCAAATGGCTACCGATTTGTTCTAATCGAATTTCGATCCATCACATTCACCTATAGTTTTCATTTTAATGTTTTTAAAAAAACCATTTCCTTACAGTTACCATGGTATGGCACAGTCATCTATTTCTGTCCGATCACATCAGACAAGTACATCCAGACACCACTAATGTGGACCATCTTCAGAAATCTAGTACACGATCCCGCATAGTTCGATCGACTTTGACTGACGGATCCCGAGTAACGTCTCCGAAGTCGGCCAAACAGCATCAGACGCTCTCACCTATTCACAACATGAAAGAGAAGGCGAAACACGTCGGTGCATCACAATCCCCTCTTCATATGCTGTATCCAACACCGCCTTTTGGAGACCGGCCCCTTCCAAATGTCGTTCTCCGTCTCATAAATCTCACTACCGACAAAGTGCGGATGATTGATTTCAGCGGGAATCTGATGGGGAACCAACCGTTGGCCAGTGATGGGGTGGAGGACGGTGCTTTGGTACGATTCTGGTTTCCACCTTACTTGAATGAACGGCATTTGCAGGTGTATCCGCTTCTAATCAACGTGTAAGTACGTTTGTGTTAGTAAAAGCAGCGTCTACGGAAATAGTTATACTAAGAGTGAACAGTTTTTATGTAAATCACCGAAGCAAGCAAAACATTGTGATGTTATCCGAACGGCCTCCTAGTATTGGCCTTCTATCTTTTGCGTATTATTTGCTAATGAACTTCAGAGAATTTTCTCGATTATTTTACTACAGGGGGTCCAGGTAAACTCGTTTGGCTATTTCTAATATATATGCCACTCTCCTCTGATTATCGTGTAAATACTTTAGGATTGATGTGCTCAATATGTCGTCTCGGCTGCATTCGAAACTGCGCACCTTGATTTGACCAGGCTGGACACGCGGTCACTGGTGACACGATACTATCCTAATGTCTCAAGACATTCTTACTGCTAGGATCCTCTCATTTATAAATAAATGTAGCCACGAAGTGGATGAGTAAACTGCTCTGAAGATCACATTGTTATAACACGCACCTGTTGGTTAGATCTGCTAGTAACATGTTAATTATCACCGTATCAGTTAATCCTAGCCTCCAGACAAATGCACTACTTTGTAGTGATCTTCAAATACGTACTTTCTATTGCGACTAATTTATTGGCGTTACTGATAATGTCATGTATTATAAACAGTTTTGATGCAGTTCTTTGCAGCGAAATTCAACAGAACAGCCATCTCGAATTGAAAACAACAGCGGATTAACTATTTGATGGTGCAAAGCGGCAGCAAGCATGTTCACCAAACGCTGAGAGCTGGTGATCTAAGACCCTGAGCCTGTTATATTTGTACGTATGTATATTTGATTGTAACAAACAACAAATATACAGTTAACAGAGTACCACTGCACGTTGACAATAACAAAATATAGGGAGAAGTAATGTAAAGACAGAAAGGTCCCACAACAAGTTTGCTATTGAGCAAAATTCCAAGCAATGTAAGATGTTTTCATCGCGTGTATTCATTGCCCCTGGGCCGAAATCTTGAAGTCTGGATGTCCCTACAGAGATTAACTGCAATCTAGGTGCCTAGACTTTCTGGACCCGTCACAACGAGACTGGAATTTAAACTGATACGGCAATGCAGAAAAAACTCAATGTGGGTAAGTCACGGAAGTTAATTCCGGCTGATGTTGAGAGATACGTACAAAATTTCTCCTCATTACAACTAGACAAATTATTACCCCAATCTCTTTCACACGGCCCGAAAGTCGGTTGTCCACGAAACTGTTAAATTAGCTATATTTAGAGGTCCCATATGAGTATCTCTATTTCCAAGTAGCTACGCTTGCGTCGTCATCATCCTTAGCAGCCGAGCAGAATAGGTCACCCCTGCTTAACGCAAGTGACGAGTACCTAACTTATAAACCGTGTGCCAAGCATCTATTGAAGCAGGGAGATCTTTACGCTCTTAAAGAACTTGAGCGAAACAATAATATACTTTTGTCTATGCCGGATAAAGGACCTGGGGTCCTTCTGATGGACAGATCGGACTACATCTGCAAGAATATGCCATTCTTCCTGACGCGTCAAAAGTTTGTAGAATGGATATTGGGAATGACAAGACAAAGGAATCGAGAGATCCATAACTAAACTCCTACTTTGCTTAAAGAAGGAGCACGTAAACGGCTCAGATATTTTTGAATACACCGGACCGTGTGGGACAGTGAGTTCAAGAGTGTATGGTCCGCACAAATTGCACAAGGAAGGGCTACCCCTAAGGTGGATAATAGACATGTGTAACTTGCCGTATCACTCAATCTCTAAGTGGCTCATCATACGGCTGCAACCAGTCAGAAAAGCCATAGCTATCTACAGTCTCAAGGATACATTCGATTTTGTTGACTCAGTGAGACAAATTGATCTAGCTGGGCGACAGATATTTTCCTTAGTTGTGACGTCGCATTTTTTCACCGTTCCGTTGCAGCACACATTTGGGTCCATGCGGAATAGGGTGCACAGTAAAAAAATCTGGAATGAACAGTACATCCATTTCACTAGTTTCGTTCCGATAAGTCCAAAAGGAAACCACGTCCGTTGCCTAACGGAGAGAGTGAGAAAAATATGTACAGACGATGCGATTCTAGAAGATCTGGAACTTATACGAAGCGTACTCGTGCGTAAAGGGTACCCTGAAAAATTATCCGGATGCAAATGGAACCGCAAATACAATAGCTCAAACCCGTTTCCACGGAAATGTGGATGGTATACTTATCGTTACCATTTCAGCGCGACAAGATAGCGGAACGGATCACCCGAAGACTATCCTTAAAAATCAGAGAACGTATTTTGCCGCCAATGTGCACGTTAGCTTAACATCAACACCGATTGTGCGCCGACAACGTAAATACAGGATACCTCGGTCGCAGACCTATTTCAGTGTGCATAATTTCTTTTGCTCGTGCCGAGCAAGGTAGATTGAGAAAACGATGAGGCGGCTGTCCGTTTGAGCTCAAGAACTTCGCCTAGCTTGACTCTACAGCGAAGATAGAAAAGATGAAACCAATACAGTATTGTCGCACCCAGTAGACTCCGACCATCAAATCCATGCGCATGACGCATACACACCGATCTACTATGTCCCCGGACGTAACACATAGACAGTCAGATGCCGCCTGCTGGCGGCAGCAGAGGCGGTCGCAATTCGGCGCTATTACCCGGAGCTATATGCACAGAAAACCTCTTCAATACTTGAATTGGCTTCAGACCAACGCCAATAACAATGGCATCCACACCACTTCACCTGACTTCGCCTCAACCAGATTAATCATGTAATCTTATCGATCGATTACTCTGCTTCAGTGACTCACCGAATTTAAACCCATTAAGTCTATTCTATTGCTTAAGCCCTGCTGGATCCCTCTGCTAGTACCTTTGTAGTGCACGTCATGTTTCGCCTAAGCCATGATGTTCCGATGCGAGGTAGTTAATTTCTTCCAAGTAGGACGTTAGCGCATCATAAATAATAGCTTCCAGGTCTTTTTCAAAAACCGGTAGTAAAATTATGGGGCGGCAGTTGGCCGGATAAGGGGGACTAACTCCATCGCTATTAGGACTAATCATTCCATTTTTCCACATGTCGGGCACGTACATTTCGTCAAAACGTTGTTGGAAGAATAGACGCAAAGTCTCAGCTAAATTCTCTCCCACGGCGGCTAACGAGTTCATGGGTATAATATCAACTAAAGGAGAGTTGTGCTTACGCGTACTCTACAGCGTTTTTATCACAGCTTGTGCTGTGTAAGATATGTGAGTGACTTTGGGGTGTAACAATCATTGTCATAGTGTTAGTTAGACAGTGATCACAGTTAAATGTTGCAGCATATTGTAAGCGCAGGGCATTCGTCGGCTCCTTCGGTGTCCGTGTGGATCCGTCCATTGTTTGAAGAGGAGGCATACTCCGTTTTACCTTATGGATACTAATGACGAGTTGATACAGCAGCTTGTGATTTGAGACCATACGCAATGTCGACTTCTTCTGGTAAGACGTTCTATCATCGCGAACAAGCTGAGTACCATGGTTACTTAGGGTCGCATAGACCATCCAGGTCTTGGTGCCTTGGAAGAGTTTGTAGATATGCCAGATTGAGTTTCGCACTGCTGTACACTTACTTTGGTCTACTTCGTAGAATGGAGACGACGTTTCTCGGACGGATGGTCTTGGTCGCTGACGTCTCGGCACCTAGAGAGTTAAACTGACTGACGAAAACTTTTCATGCACTAGCTGCCTTTTCCTCTGCCAGAAAAGTCCAATTGGCTGTCATACTTGGTCGAGCAAATGTCATAAATATGCTGTTTTTGTGGTCTCTGCAATTTTCACAGGATATGGTTCATAGCAAATGTATTCAAATTACATGACTACCTGATCGCTGCGGAGCTCGTTGACGTCAAATATTGCCCTATGTCCATAAGTTATTTGTTGCAGTATACCCGGTCCAGTTTTGACGGCTTACCTTTTTCTCGGAATCGGGTGGGAGGGTTTGTGTGGCCATACAGCGGGTACCTGAGGAAAAAACACTCATAGATCAGCCTTAAACTGTTCGCCGGGAGCTGCTTTGAATTCCATAGCTTGGAAATAGATGATGATGATAATCATGCTGATGATGATGATGATGATGCTTATGATGAATCTCTGACTTGACCAGGGCTTAGGTGTCCCATCAAGACAAAGTTTATGAATCAATATTTGTGCTATCACTAAAACAATTCACCTGTAGCTGCAAAAACACCTAGGTCGGGCGCACTGATCGAAGTTTAGTTGTCAGATTCAATGAAAGTGCTCACATCTGTTTCGACAGCCGGATGGGATTGGTGATGGTCGAATCGGGTAAAGTGAGAAATCGATTTGCCTCTGCAATTGCAAGGACGCTTGTTGGGCACCGGATACCGATGTGTCATCCACTGTTTGTATGCGCAATAAGCTGCCCAAACTGTCAGGCAACCGGAAACAATTGTAATCGATCGAGTACACCCACTGTTTTGTGTGCATAAACAGATGACGGTGAGTTTTAACTTATGGTGGTGGCGTGGGGCGCGACATTTGAACAACGGTTTGCTAACTTTTGATCCCATATAACCGCGTTTTGTAGATCCTCGATTTTTGCGAAATTTGTGGCTGATTAGCTTGCAAGAAATGATTAATTATTCTGACAGCTTACGTCTTTTACTTTTCCTGTTTAGCATTATCCTGGGAAGTGCATGTCTTTAAATTAAGCGAATGCCCTGATTACTTTCACTGAAGTACTGGATAGGCTGACAGTAACAGCAGCTTCTAGCCTACCTGCAGGAAAACATTTTAATTTGAGTGCACATAGGTCATCACTAAATGTTAGACTGACACTTGCAACCTGCGTAACATGTCCCGGTCAACCCGCGAGAAGTCATGAATTGTGGCGAGGTCACCAATATACTCCAGTCACGCAGCCGATCACTGGGGATCAATTCGACCATATTAGGCCCTCAGTTTTCCAGATAAATCTATAAGATATCGTCTATAGAAACGTGGGACT